ACCATGATCTACCCCTATTCGGGGACTATCGCCCGAAGAAAGTTCGGATAACCGGGGCTATTGAATCTCGGTGACACCAAACCTATTAGGCGGTTCCCAAATACAAAAGGCTATGGCTACCCTAAAAATAGCTTGGAGACATCTGAAACTCGTAATCAGAAAGTAAGGCCTCTATAAAAACTTGAAATCTACTAAAAGATTACCCTCAACAAAGGCATCGTCTAAAATCACTTAAGCATCTTGAAAATATCCGGTCACACTGAGGTTTCAAAGACTCGAGAAAACAAAGTTGTATCGAAGTCGGGCACCGTTTGGACCTCCAAAAAATGAATGCCCTATAACTACATTTAATTCTATGCTAAGGCATCAAAAACATTACATGAATAGAAATTATTAAAAGATGCTGGAAAGGTAAAGACATGATATTGCTAAAAAGGGAAAATTTCATATATATATTCAGGAATATGTTTACAAAGGGCCAATAAAAACATCCTTGATATAAAAAAAAATACATAAGGGAAAACGAAAACTAAAAAAATACTAAGGCATCTACGCTTGGTCTACAATGGGGCCCGACTCATTACCAGAACCGTTGGAGCCCTCGGAACCCTCAGAGCCTTCGACACCCTCAGGTTCGTAAAACTCCTTTGCTTCAGCCCGAGCTTTTTGGCTTCCTCTATCTCGGCCGATAGATTGAAACCTCGGGCATGGATCTCTTCGAGGGTATCTCTTTAGGACAATCGCTTCATATACTCAGCCTTTGCCTTTAGGGTGTCTCGGCAACCTCCACATTGGTCTTGTACTGGGCCACCATTTCCTCGGCATCAGCGGAAGTCGTGTCCAATTTGGACTTCAACACCTCATATTGTTTTTCGAGGATATCCCATTCTGCGATAGCCGAGCTTAGTTGTGCTCGGAGATCATCATTCATATGAGACCACTTGTCAGCTTTGTCCTTCGCCACCCGGAGTTGGTTCTCAACCGACGCCAGCTCCGCCTTAGCAGTTTCCTTATCTGAAGCCAGTAGGTCTATCCTACCCTTCCACACTTCGGCCATGGCCTTGACCTCGTTCATCTCCGCTCGGAGCTGGTCAATCAAGTTGATCTTTTGTTGGACCAACGAGGTTTTGTTGTTAGTCACCACGAATAGACCCTTGTTTTTCGCTTCAAAGACCTTTACCTTTTCAAACAAGTCGGCATGTTCCGCTTTAGGATCGAGGCCTCCTTCTGAGCTTTGTCCAGCTCGGCCTGGAGGTCTTTAATGGCCTCATCTTGTTGCTCACTAAGAAGCATGTACATGTCCTTCTTTCGGACATGTTCTTGAGCTCGAACTCGATCTAGCTGATTTCCAAGTGGTACCGGAGGAAGCTTTCATGATGAAGCACTAAAGCCTATAAAATAGTGGAACTAGTAAGGGATATCAAGGGAAAACTTAAGCAGGATTCATGAAAGGGGTACGAAAGTGTTAGAATCTTAACCGATTCAAGGCCTACTGCTCCCCGTTAAAAAGACTCGACGTGTTTACCTTGTTCATCTTTGCCTGATCCTCCTCAGTCACCAGGCATTGGAGGTAGTTGGCTACACCTACCGGAGAAGACAGGATCCGGGCATCCTCCGGGACTATGAGAATAAACATCCTCTTTTTCTTAGGGTCCACGCTCGGTGCAAGGAATTATGTCACCAATCTTAGGCTCATACTCGGCCCGTCAGCTCCCGAAGGCACATCTTCTTTAGTATCTCCAAGTGACCCATACTGGAGAAATCTTCCAATGTGGACATTTCCATGCCATCAAAGAGGGAGTGGAGAGGATCCTCAGCACCCTAAGCTCCCTCACTTGATTTTTCCTTGCTAGCTTGGGCCTCTTCAAGCATGGACTCGGTATAGGAGGGCGTCTCGATGATTTCTATCACACCGGTCACCTCTTCGGAACAAGAACGGCTTCTCGGGAGGTCACATGCCACGTATCCACTTCGGCCTCTCGAGTTGGAAGAGGATCACCCTCGTGGCTCCTTTCCTCGGTCGTTGCCTATTCCCCGGTAGAGGTCGATCCTTTGGGCGGCAAAGATGTCATCTTCTTCAGGCTTATCCCTAAGCCGCTGAAGCAAGTCATATTTGGTACCCGAGAATTAGTATTCTTCTTGGGCTTGTGAGACCGGGTGGCCACCCTCTTTTTTATCTTCACGTCGGGATCCGGGGAACCGAAGGGCTTTTTTTCTTAATCTTCTCCTCTGCGGCAGCCCGAGGCTGTACCGAAACGGAGGATTAGATAGGTAAGGACGTATCCTCGTCACCATCCAGCGACCTATGTTTGGTGGTCTTAGGTAAACCTACGAGGGAAAAGAGAAGGTCAACATCGTGTAAGCTCGGGGCGTAGTAATAACTATTCAGGGGAGAGCCTTGCCATGATAACAAGCCTCCCATTTGCCCTTCAAAGGTTTGCGCCACGTGCGCTCGTAGTATGATATTTGCTGGCAGATCCCTTCGATCCATGCCTTGAGTTGGGGGAACAACAACTGCACGACCATAAATAGTGGCGATGAGAGAAGAAGTGAAGGGAAATTAACACTTAAGGAAAGACTACACTTACGAGATGCGTTCCACTTCTCGGGGAATGGCAGGAACTCGGGAGGGATCAGGTCTTCAGTCTTTACCCGAATAAAAATCCCTTGCCATCCTCGGTTTTGATCCTCGTCAATGCTCGAAAATGGGGCCTTGCTGGCTTAACGAACAAGCTTGATTAGTCCCCCTCAGGAAATTCGAGGACTGCACATGCGGAGTAGGTGGACGAGGGTGAACCGAAGAAATTCAGTGTTGTTCTCGATATGGCATAGGAGGATCACGATCCTCTAGAGGGACGGGTGAATTTTCCCGAGGCACACCTCGTACCTCTTGCAAAAGGCTAGTGTCACTAGGTCTACTAGGCCTAGTGTGAAAGGGTAAGTGTAAACACTTAAATACCCCTCCACGTAGGTAGTGATATCATCCTTAGCCGGGGACAACCACGACCTTGCCTTCCCATTTACAGTCCTCTCGGACTATGGGAAAGGTATTTTCAATGAAGGAGCATATGTATCTCCATGCTCCTTCGCCTCGGTCTTGTTTGACGGAGGCCTTCTCGACCTTGAAATCGTCCCTGATAGAACAACCCTCGGGTATGAACCTTTTCATAGGAGGCTCTATAAGCACCTCGGGGACATCCACCTCGACATCTGCGATCGGGTGGGAAGATGAAGTGGCCGTTTGCTGTGGTACAAACTTGGAAGTTTTGGCCATCATAAATTTAGGAAAATAAATGAAGATTTGAAGAAGGCTTATGAAGATTTGAAGGTTAGAGGTGAAGACATGAAGTTCTGGATTGAAAATCCAAGAAAAAACATGAAGGTTAAAGTTGAAGATTTGAAGGTTCAAGAAACGAGGTATGAAGACTTGAGAAAGTTGAAAGCCTTTATAAGGTTCGAAGGTAAGAGCTAGGATCAGAAAGTGAAAGAAGTGAAGGGGGTTAAAGCTTTTGTAGGGGAAACGTAATTAATACGCGATGTTTCACATTCGAAGGCAACCAACCAATGATCGACATGCGTCCGAACTCAGATGCGATTGATGCGACGTTTCGGCTTATCCGTCATCTCAGTTGTAACGTGCGAAGGAAGGAACCAGGGTTCATTTATCATTTTCCGTCGTTTTGGCAAACCTACTCTCTGGAAAACGAGGGGACTATCTGACTATCTGTATACGGATGAAATCGGGTTAACATACACCTCGATTTTCTGGTGGGTCAAACGAAGCAAGGATATGAATACACGGTATCGAATCCAAAGCTGAGAACTTCTTGTACCAAGGCCGGAACGGAATGCTCGCCGTCGGACTTGATAAAACGATGTACCCCGGACCCGGGATGGGTTCTGAGACTTGGGGAAGCGCATGAACGGTGGTAGGCGGTGGATAGAGGGTCGTGATATCTGGAACCAACCAAATATCACAGCGCAGATCTCGCTCGATGGCGGTTACATATCAGTAATTAACGAGAGAGAGGATTTTTACCCTTTATAGACTTGTACTAGAGGTGAAACTCTCCTACTATATAAAGGGAAAGTTTTTTCTTTGATAAGATGCATTGTAACACGCATACCAAGACAATACAAATTTATTTCTCCGCTTTCTAACTATCAAAAAGTTCTTATTTTATTGTTGTTCTTCATATACATCTGGTTTCGAACCAAGGGTCCGATCGAGGGTAAAATTACTGTTCAGCACAAATCCGAGCCCGGACGTAACATCACAATTGGTTTGGTTATTCATTCTATATTTAACTCGTTTATCTAACATTTTTGAGTATTTGTGTTGAATCAATCCACATATACCTAAAATCGTGTATAAATTCAATTGTTACCCATTTTAAGGGTAAACACTTTTAATTTTCAGAAAATATGGAGTATAAGTTTATTGGCGATGGCAACTTTTTATGATTGGCGATATAAACCAGTTGTGAGTGAAAGCGGTGGCAACTCTTCGGGCTAGCATCTTAGGCGTATGAAGCAAGGTTCGTGATTAATTTTTCAGAAAACTTTAATAAAAGAGTAAAAAAGTAATTTAATATTTGATCTGAGGGCTTACTATTTTTAATATAGTAGTCCCTCCTTTTCATCCCTCCTCTCCATATCAAATGAGGTAGTTTGACTCGGGCACGTAGTTTAAGAAAAAAGAAGAAGATTTTTGAAACTTCTGGTCTTAAAAACTTAAGGGGTAAAAAATTTGTGGGGCCATAATATTTGTGTGACTATAAAAACTTCTCATTAAGGATAAATGGGTAAAATGAAAAAAGTTTAAAGTTAAATTATTTTCAAATTTAAAAATATATCATTTATTTTGAAACAAACTAAAAAGAAAGTACTCATTTAATAAAACGAAGTGAGTAAATAGGGCCGCGTATGACTTTGGCCGCGTATGAAAAATGTAATCAAAGAGAATTATTATTTGACCAAGTATGGAAGTGCAAGTAGTAGTAACATTTATTGTCACGTGACGCCAGTATCTGTACTGTAGGTAAATGTAAATGTCCGTCATTCTGCTCCGTGAGATCAACCCAGCTATCTTCTACCGCTCTGCAATTTCAGCTCTTTTTCTTTCCACTACGTCGCAATTGAAGTCTCTGATAAGTGAGAGTTAACTGAGAACTTGGTCTACAATCAATTTACGGACTTGAAAGAAAGAATTTCAAAGAGACAATCACGAAAATGCTAGGAAAGCGAAGTCAAACACCTAGCCGGTGAGACATATATTTCATTATTACTTATTGGCAGTTCATTTCTGGTCTGGGTATAGTGATAGTAAATTAACTTCTTTCTTTTGTGGTATTATAGGAATTTGTGTGATACTTACAAGGTAGCTGGGAATTGGTAACTTATTCTGCTTACTTATAAATTGAACAAGTAATGAACTTGCTCGATTAGAACTACAAAATCACGGACTTAGCTAAGAAAGTATGTTATGGAACCAAGATGCCAACTAGAGTGAGACTAGAGGAGTTAGTCTTAGGATGCTACTGATCAACTACTGATGATGAGCTTTATTTGTTGGTTATTAGTATACTTTACATCTTTCTCGTATTTCCTATATTTCTTGTATTGCTGTTATTTTCTTATTTTATGGTATTTTATGTTATGTTATGGATTTTATGTTATTTTATGTTATTTTATTATGAGTCTATTGATAGTACTAATATAGCGTCTCTTGTTGCTTTCTTGAGCCGAGGGTCTCCTGGAAACAGCCTCTCTGCCCCTCAGGGTAGAGGTAAGGTCTGCGTACATATTAACCTCCCCAGACCCCACTTGTGGGATTATACTGGGTTGTTGTTGTTGCACTTACACTCTTATTTTTTGCCGCAAATCATTTTAGCTTAAGGAAAGATTTATATCCAAATGAAATGGTACCCAACAAATAGGGAGGATTAATATTGATGACCCCAACTAAGGCATCGTAGAATCACAAACTGCTTAGTGTTGTGTACTGAACCAATGTAGCATTGGCTGCAGTTTTTGCAGTCCTTTAATTTGACAACAGAATGGAATGATTCTTTGCTTATTTGTGTAGTTTTACCTTTTATCAAAGTAAGAATTCCTTCCTTAATGGTACTTTGCAATCTTTACCTTCCATGATTTTTAAGTCAATAAGCTTATGTATTTATTCATTTAGTTGATCCGCATTGGATGATAAAAGTAGAGAATCAAAATGATTTGATTTTGTCCTATTGGTTGTTATTTGCTTCGTCCTCCATCTCTAGATAGTACCTGATTATGAATTTGTACGTGTGTAGTAGGAAAACAAAGGAAATTATATTCTTTGATTCTATTTGTGTTGATTTGCCTTTCTCAAGTCCAACCACTTTGGCAGGTCTGAATTACTGTCTATGGTAAAGAAGCATTCGGAAATGTTAGGGAAAACCACTGTGGACGAGGAAGATGCTTCGGATGTTGAAGTGGATCCACGCTTCTGGCATGATGTTATGGATTTGTATTTTATTTGTGGCAAGGAGTCTAGGGGACGTCAGGAAGATGATCTTGTTTTCTTTGTTAAACGAATTGTACAACTCTTTACATAATTCTCCCCATTATCTTGGTTTTTAGGTTACAACCCGCTGAAACTGAATAAGAATTTGCTGAATGTGAATTGCTCTAAGGTTATCTTTTGGTCTAAAATTTGCAGAGAAATGAGTCAAATGAATATGTTGATGACGACTCTCCATACTTTGTTCGCAGGTGGGCACCTAAGGTAAAAACAACATAGTTTTCCTTTTAGGTTTAGTGCACATCAATTTGCAATCTGCCTTTGATTGATTACTCAAATAGTCAAACTTATTTTATTCAAGTCTTAACCATTTGATCATATGATGTACATCCACTAGACTGTGAGTCTATGTTGGTTAACCAGTTGGGATATTTATGTGAATCATCAGTGGTGGTCCAATTGTGATCAAAAGCTGGTGGCTCGTGACCACATTGTTGGTAGATAAAAAGGAACAAAAAATTTTTGGGAGTTCATCAAGATATGGACTAATATGCTGATTTAGTAGCGACATAGCATTAGTCAGTAGCTTAACTAAAACAGAAATCAAAAGCATCAGGATCCAATATTTTAAATTTCGATCTTTTGTTGCCTTAGTAAAAGGGGGGTAATAACTTGGGGCGATTATGTGAGTAGCCTTTGAATATAAAGTTGAATAGGTTTAGGTTTCATCTAAAATTTTCTGAACTGTTGTTGTAGATTATCTTGTTTGTCGATCCGTTGTAAAATTCTTCTTTGGCTAGACTGATGGTTAAACTGGATTATCTCTTGAAACTTGTTTGGCTAAACATGAGTCTTGTGCATATGTAAGAGTATATGCTGATACTCATGTCAAAGCAGTATTAAGAAGTCGAGATTCCTGGTTAAGATAAAGGCAAGTCAACTTTGATTCAAGTAAATTGAGAACAGGAAAAAACATGATCCATAGCTTTACTTGAAACAATATAAGCACGGCTGAAACAATTATTAGTGATTTGAAATATGCTTTAGCATTTTAATGTAAGTAAGCATGTTAATATAATATATCATAATCATAGCATCCAAGCAAGACATGTGAACGTCGGCCAAAATAAACAACTCGTCAACACAGGCATGGACTTGTTCCTATATGCAAGGTTGTAATACACGTATTGAAGGCATTTTTAGGAATCTGAAACTCATCTATACGTGCTTATTTCAATAGAAATCATGCTAGTGATGAAAAACCAGTTATAGATAGGTTTCTACTAACCTCTAACTCAAGCACTTGCTGAACTTCAGTTCTAGTTTGATCAACTCTATCAACTCCTTGCTTAGTATAGTAAAAGACGAGAGGAATCAACGTCATTCTTTTGGTAGGTTAATGATGTACTAACCCGTACTTAACCTGTGGACCCTAGTTGGATCATTGCGATTAAAAATCTTAGTCTAACTTTAAATGCCAAAATTTGGATTACGCATGGCTTAACTTATGCAAAAACATATATTCTATTTATTGGAGGGGATTTTAATGGCCATATTGGGTCGGCTGCTGGTAGTTATGGCGAGGTGCATGGTGGCTTTGGCCTTGGGGATAGGAACGGAGGAGGTACTTCGCTGTTAGACTTCGCTAAGGCTTTCGAGCTGGTGATTATGAACTCGACTTTTCCAAAGAGGGAGGAGCATCTGGTTACTTTCCAAAGTTCGGCGGTGAAGACTCAGATTGATTACCTTCTCCTCAGAAGGTGTGATAGAGGGTTGTGCAAGGATTGCAAGGTTATCCCGGGAGAGACCCTCGAGACTTAGCATAGGCTCTTAGTGATGGACATCGGCATTATGATGAAGAGGAAGAAGAGGTATGTTCGTGGCCGACCGAGGATTAGATGGGGAGCTTTAACCAAGGATAAAGCCCAGGAGTTGGAGGGGAGGTTATTCGCTATGGGAGCTTGGAGGAGTAGTGGAGACGCGAGCACTATGTGGTCAACGACGGCGAACTACGTGAGGGAGGCAGCGAGAAAGGTGCTAGGGATATCGAAGGGTTTTTCTGGCAGGCACCAGGGCGACTGGTGGTGGAATGACGTAGTCCAAGGTAAAGTGGAGGCGAAGAAGGTAGCGTACGCGAATTTGGCAGGGAGCACAAACGAGGAGGAGAGGAGAGCGAATAGAGAGAGGTACAAAGTGGCAAGGAAGGAGGCAAAGTTGGCGGTCACGGAGGCTAAGAATGCAGCGTTTGGTCGTCTATACAGGAATTGGGGGAGAAAGGCGGGGACAGGAAGTTGGTTCGACTAGCTAAAGCGAGGGAGAGGAAGACCCGGGATCTGGACCAAGTAAGGTGCATCGGAGACGAGGATGGTAGAGTATTGATGGGAGAGTCCCAGATTAAGCAGAGATGACACACGTACTTCTATGGTCTTCTAAACGAGGAGGGGGATCAGGATATAATGCTAGGAGATTTGGGGCATTCGGAGAGTCTCTGAGATTTTGGGTATTGCAGGCGCATTAAGGTAAAGGAGGTCATGGGGGCTTTGCGTAAGATGAGTAGGGGTAGAGCGACCGGGCTAGACGAAATTCCGGTTGAGTTTTGGAAGTTTGTAGGTAGAGCAGGATTGGAGTGGCTGACTGGGTTGTGCAATGTAATTTTTAGGACAAAGAGGATGCCGGAGGAGTGGAGGTCGAGTACAGTGGTACCGTTGTACAAGAACAAAGGTGATATCTAGTGTTGTAACAATTATAGGGGTATCAAGTTACTTAGCCATAACATGAAAGTCTGGGAGAGGGTGGTGGAGGTGAGGGTGAGGAAGACGACGTCTATATCCGACAATCAGTTTGGGTTTATGCCGAGTCACTCCACTACGGAAGCGATCCACCTTATTAGGAGGTTGGTGGAACAGTACAGGGATAAGAAGAAGGATCTGCACATGGTGTTTATTGACTTGGAGAAAGCGTATGACAAGGTCCCTAGGGAGGTGCTCTGGAGATGTCTTGAGGCAAAGGGCGTGCCGGTAGCCTACATAAGAGCGATCAAGGCAGAGGCGGCCCGAGAAGATTGGTGGCCTAAAGCCAATTTTTATTCTGGGGCCTTTCAGCAAAAATCAATTCAAAAGTTGTTAATTTTTTTAATTATTCTATTAGCATAGCATTAAGAATAATTTCTTTTATAAATAATATAATCTCTCCTAAGATATTGTTAATCTTAGATAATAGAACCAGATAACTTGATATTGAAATAATTTTTGATGTTCTAATATATTTGTTGAAATGCTTGAAACCTGAGAAAAAAAGAAGAAAAAAAAAGAATGCGCAATATAGTTTTATTAAACAATACTCTTCACCTCTTGTTTTTTTAGAAAAAGTAATTTTTTTTCTTTCAACAGAGAACAATATAACTATCGAAAACTTAAAGTTTTTTTGCAGAAACAAAAGAAAGATAAAAAATAAGACTTGGACTATTGAAGATACCAAAAAACGGATTTTAAAAATTTATTACACGTTTTTAGTGAGAAATATAAAAGGAGAATAATAATATCGGTACCTCACTAATGATGTCAATCGTAAAATTTAAATAATAAAAAGTTTTATATTCGCGACAAAGAGTTTAAGGAGAGTGATTCTCTTTCTCCAATTTTTTTCTCAAACGTCTACACGAGTACTAAACTAAAAGTTACTTTTACCTTTTATAAAATATTTTACTTTTTTATTTTAAAATACCTAATATATTTAGACCTTATCTCTAAAGATTGTTGTGAGATGTATATGATCCAATTTACCTTAATTAGATATATTGAGTTCGAGCCCTCATAAAATTTTGTTAAAATGTGTTCTCTTTTCTACTAGGCCTTACGCGGTACGAATCGTAATTAGTCGGGATCTCAATACAAATATAAGTAGGAAACAAAAAGAAAAATTTGGGGCCCCAAAAATTGGGGGCCTAAAGACCTTGCTTTAGTGGCTTGACCCTTGGGCCGCCCCTGGATCAAGGATATGTATAATGGAGCTAAGACTAAGGTTAGGACTGTGGGAGGCGACTCGGAGCATTTCCCGGTTGTTATGGGATTACACCAAGGCTCTGCGCTTAGCCCGTTCTTATTTGCCTGGTGATGGTTGCACTGACACACCATATTCAAGGGGATGTGCCATGGTGTATGTTATTTGCTGATGACATAGTTCTAATTGATGAGACGAGGGTCGGTGTTAACGAGAGGTTGGAGGTTTGGAGATAGACCCTCGAGTCTAAGGGTTTCAAATTGAGCAGGTCTAGGACAGAGTACCTGGAGTGCAAGTTTAGCGCTGAGTCGAGGAAAGTAGGCAGGGAGGTGAGGCTTGGATCACAGGTCATCCCCAAGAGAGATAGCTTCAAGTACTTTGGGTCGATGATTTAGGGGGACGGACAGATCGACGAGGACGTCACTCACCGTATAGGGGCGGGTTGGATGAAATGGAGGCTTGCATCTGGAGTCTTGTGTGACAAGAAAGTGCCACCGATACTCAAAGGTAAGTTTTATAGAGCTGTGGTTAGACCGGCCATGTTGTATGGAGCGGAGAGTTGGCCGGTTAAGAACTCCTATATCCAGAGGATGAAGGTAGCAGAGATAAGGATGCTGAGGTGGATGTGCGGGCACACTAGGATAGACAAGATTAGGAATGAAGATATTCGGAAGAAGGTGGGCGTGGCCCCTGTAGATGACAAGATGCGGGAAGCGAGACTCAGATGGTTCGGGCACGTGCGGAGGAGAAGCCTTGATGCTCCGGTGAGGAGGTGTGAGCGGTTGGCCGTGGTGGGTATGAGAAGAGGTAGAGGGAGACCTAAGAAGTATTGGGGAGAGGTGATCAAACAGGACATGGTACGACTGCAGATTTCCGAGGACATGACCCTTGATAGGAAGGTCTGAAGGTCAAACATTAGGGTTGTAGGTTAGGGGGTAGTAGAGCTTTCCTTACTTCATACCCGGGGTGAGGCGGGGTTGGATTAGGGTTGATCTTAGATGACTTGCAGTTTATGTTGAGTCCACACTATCCTTGCTGTTTATCTTAGCCCCGGGCCTTAGATACTGATTACTGTTATTGCATGTCATTTATCTTTTGGTTGTTATGCTTCTGTTACTATTACAATTTCTACTGGAGTTACTAATGAATTGTCTTTTCTTGTTTTTTATTTCCGTCTTTCTGAGCCGAGGGTCTATCGGAAACAGCCTCTCTTTCCTATAGGGGTAAGGGTAAGGTCTGCGTACACATTATCCTCCCTAGACCCCACTTTGTGGGATTTTACTAGGTAGTTGTTGTTGTTGCTTTGGTGGTTTGATAGTCCTTGATCAAGGTTGGTTTTGCACAATTGCTTTTCCTCCAAGTTAGCTGAGCTGTTGAGGATGCTGAAACTATATTGAAATGATCTTGGATTGAGCTTTTATAGTTATAGGGCTATAACATGTGAAAACTTCAAGTTTGTCTGGGGCTCCATCGTGTAGCAGTACTCCTTTGTGCCGCGGAAGAATTCTTCATGTAAGAATGCACGGGAGAAAAATCTATTTTATTAACAATGAGCCCTATACATAATACATATTCTACTCCTACTACGTATGAGACTAAGACATATTCTACTCCTACTACATATGTGACTAGAATTATTTATACATAACTATCTAACACTCCCACTCAAGCTGGTGCATATAAATCATTTGTACTGAGCTTGTTACATATGTAACTAATATGAGGACCAATGAAGGACTTGGTGAAAATATCTACAAGCTGATCATTCGACTTCACTACGAGTCATGCCAAACTCCTAGATAACTGTGCTGAACTTACCAAATCAGAAGTGACCGGCGCAAGCGATATACAAGGCCACTAGACTCTCCCTTAGCAACAAAATCAGGCGGTTGCTGATAAACAGAAGTTGGCCGAAAAGTTGCTGGAGAAATTTGAAAATAGTGAGACTAAGATGAATTCCACACTACAAAATAGGTTCTAAAACACCCCCCAGAAAACAGAAACATTTCTGGAAATCATTGTTCACGCCAGAAAAAATAAAAGTTATCAGAATTTGATGTAATTTGTATGGTAGACTCGGAATCACTGGACGAGTAAGTTGTTCTAAATAAGTTCTGTTAAAAAATGGTCGGAATAGCTCGCACGTGCCGAAAATGTTAATGTAGCTTAGCGGAAAATTCCAAAGTTCTAAGAATCTGTCGGTGCGTGTGTTTCTTGCCGGAACCCTAGTCATGACACGCGCCGAAACCCTAGTTCTAGGAATAGGTCATGCCACACGCGCCCACGAAACAAAATGTCCTAAAGAAAATTTTGAAAATTCTGGTCGGAAAATTCTCAACGCGTCGGCGCGTGTGTCAAACGCGCTTGCCGGAACCCTAGTTCTGGAGGCGCGTGAGGGACTTTCTGCTGGAGCGATTGACTTGGGTATTGTCGTCTGGCTTTTTCGAACAAGATAGTAGTGCTGGTTTCTGCGCAACACTTACCGATGAGGAGATACGCAAATCAATCTTGAGTCGTCTACTCAACCGGAAAGACGCATGGTAACTGACTTTTCTGTTCCGATGGGACTGAGATTTCTGGGGTTTGGTCGTACAAAGGTTTCGGATCTAATGGTGGTAGTGGTATATGCATAGTACCACTGAAGCAGTAATGAATCCAGGTGTTGAGTTGTCCCACATCGGTGGGATTTGAGGTCCTAGGTCTCCTTTTATGGTCTTGAGCAATCCTCATCTCATAAGCTAGCTTTTGAGGTTAAGTTAGGCCCAATGTTCCATTTATCATGGTATCAGAGCTAGGCCCATTCCAATTATTGTTACCGATGTTGGGCCCCCATTTATATTGTCCACGCTCCAGTTTGCAGGCCTGGGGGAGGGGGTTGATTTGTCCCACATCGGTTGGATTTGAGGTCCTTGGTCTCCTTATATGGTCTTGAGCAATCCTCACCTCATAAGCTAGCTTTAGGGTAGAGTTAGGCTCAAGGTCCATTTATCACCAGGGAACAAGACAAAGTTGCCGGAAAATTGCACGGCGACGAGATCTTTCTTTCCCGATGCCGCTGGAATGATGCACAACGATAATTTTCTCATTGAAGCTGTGAGAGTGCATGGGAGAAAATTCTATTTTATTAACAATGATACAATAAGCCTTGTACATAATACATATTCTACTCCTACCATAGTACATTCTACCCTCCCCAGACCCCACTATACATTTAGCCGAGGGTCTTTCGGAAACAGTCTCTGCCCTCCAGGATAGAGGTAAGGTTGCGTACATCCTACCCTCCCCAAACCCCACTTGTGGGATTACACTGGGTTGTTGTTGTTGTATTCTACTCCTACGATATATGGGACTAGGACAGATTCTAATCCTACTACATATGGGACTAGGACATATTCTACTTCTACTACACATGGGACTAAGATTATTTTTACATAACTATCTAACACTTTAGCTGAAGGTATCCTCTCTGTAAATCCAACACGGCTCCAGAGCTCCATCTTCAGCATCGTGGAAGAGTTCTACTAGCTTAGTCAACCTTTCTGTAAAAACAGTTCGATGCAACACTTCGCATTATCATGTTGCAGTTGCCCTTCATTGACCCTTAAGGCCACAGCTACTGCGGTGGGGTAAGCTTAGCAACACATAGCAGTAGCTACCCTTGCTTCTACCGTGATGCGGTACTTCTTCCTAGCGCACTGCAGGACTGCACCAGCTTTACTTGCCTGGTTTTTCTTCCAAATTCCACCTATTTCCATTCAACACTTAATGAATTATTACCTCAGGCTTTAGGCAAGTTCCATACAATATTTGGGATCTGTTTGGGTGTACAGGGCACTACAGATTATTACCTAGAGGCTACGTCCTTCAGTCTAAAATTGATAATACATTTGATATTAAGAAACTAATTTGACAGACAACTTATAGCAGTTCTGTTATTGCTAAAATTATTCACAGAAATGATGGTTTTTTCTAACTTCTTTGCCAGGGTGACATGGTGGTATAGTTGAAGATGTATGAATTGAGACCGTTTGAAAAAGTTGAGACTATTAGTAATTTATTTACTTTACGTCTGCTAGAGACGCGATCAATTGATGTCAGTACTTCCTCATTTACCTTTGTAAGGACAAAAATGATACTCCCTCTGTTTCAGTCTATATTTGGAAACAACTTAACTTTAAACTTTCCCTTTTACCCATTTTACCCTTAATACGAACACTTTTATAGCCGCACAAATTGAAAGCCCTAAAAAAGCTTTTAGCTTATAAGCTTTTAAGACCACAAGCTTCAAAAGTCCTCCTTTGTTTCTTAAACTACGTGCCAAGTCAAACTATGTCACATAAATTAAAACAGAGGGAGTACTTTATAAGGTAACAATTTTCTAATTTATTATTCTCCTTTCAGTTGGATGACTTAATTGGTGGGAATTCATCGGACGTGGACTGGAGGCGCTCATTTTACTTGAATTTAATTTCTCAAACTTCTTTTAGTGTGACAGTCACAATTTACAGGTAGTAATCTTTTGTCCAGAATAGGTTATTTTAAAACTTTTCTTGCTTACGGCGGTAATATCTCTTCTATCATAGGCAATGTTTTATCAAAAAAAGAAAGTTGCAGGAATCTTTAGTGATGCAGGATTTCTTAGTAATAGGGCCTTCTTTAGCATACCCTGCAAAATTTTAAATTCTTTCTTCCAATTGACCAAATTTGGCTTTTGATCGTAGTTGAACTTATGTTCTTAGTTTTGCACTCACCAGGATGTGAATCGCAGCTCCTAGATCAGTTGTTCATATCAGCTAAAGATTAACAATCTTCTTTTCTTTTCACTATAACAGTTTCTGCTTTGCCTTTTTCTTTGTTTGTTCTTTGGTAGTCACCGGGTCCTTATGAGTTACCAGAATGGCAAAGACGGACCATTATCTCCTATATACAAGGTAATTATGTAGAACAGAAAGTTTATGTTTCTTGTTTCTCCGACTTATTCTAGCTTTTCAAGCGAGATTTGTGAATAACGTCAACCTGTCCGTGTAAAAATAAATAAATAAAAAAAGTCTTGTCCATGTACATTGTTTTAGAATTCTAAATGAGTCTTTCCATCAAATTTGTAAATTCTCACTAATTAATAGATGTAAAAGAACAAAATCTTAATAAAATGAGAATTTTCTCTACGAAATCTAAAGGAAGTTAAAAAACCAAGTTTAGAGAAACAAATTATACCGGCCTATGGACATGTACAACATTTGCATGTGACTTTGATGGTCATTTGCTTGTGTTTTTGTTATCTTTCACTGAAAAATTCTCATCATCCAGAAGTGGATCCTGTATTTAAATATTCCCAATGAAACGGGTCCGAATGAGCAAAATAAATAGTGAGGATCTATATAGCCGCACCCAACTAGTGTAGGGTTGAGGCGGAGTTGTTGTTTTTGAATCAAACCTGATTGCATCTTCTTTTATTTATTTCCTGTTTTCAGGTTGTCAAAACAGTCTATGCATCTCCAAGTCGTATCAAAATTCACTTAGACTCAAGGAAGGCAAGACCTTCTGACATCTGGAGATCTATATATAATCCATTTATGCTTTTGATTAAACTGTCATCTAATGACATTATTGATTAGCATTCAGGAAGTAGAAACCACGCCAGCCTATCCAGAGATATGCTTTGCCATTGACGACTTTGATTCAACCTTTGGTGCAGTGGTAGCAAACGAACTTTCAAACCACATTTTTTTTTGCAAACTCTGTGACAGATTATTTGGATTAATTACTAGAAAAATTGTATACTATACTTGGAACTTTGTAACTTCAGTTATTAATTATTGTTGCCTCTTCTTAAATGCTTACCGAGCCGTGGTATTTAATCATTAGAATCAGTTACTCACCCTTAATTTCATGCTCAGTTCTTATTTGTGACATTAGATTTACATTTTTGGAGCAATCATCTATTGAGTGATCATTAAGATGAAACTATTGCAATACCCTTTTGCATGTAGGACATGTACAGTGTGTTTTGAACATTTATTACAATTTTAGAATATATCACATTTTATCAACTATGTTATGTAGTCTATTTCATGTGTACATGTTTAGATTGCAACCGTAAAAACTTTGCTTTATCTTTAGGCGAGGGTCTTTCGGAAACAATCTCTCTGCCCTTCCAGGGGTAGGGGTAAGGCGGTGTATAATCTTACCCTTCCCAGACCCCACTTGTGGGAAACTAGTAGGTTTGTTGTTGTTGTTGTAACTTTAGGCACGGGCAGTGGCATTTTAATCATGCAGTTTCTTGTTTAGCGTCAATGTTTCACAGTCTGATTGCACTGTTATCATTAGTCAATTTTTAATTTTCTATTGTTCCTAATTAGACATACTCTAATTATAGATGTCAGATCTGAGTGGTGTTGTTGTTTCTCTGTTGTGGGTTTTTAATGAACTTTGTGCTGTAGCTCACGAAATGCAATTTCTTCTCATGCTTATAGTATCCTGTAAGCCATTTTCCCTTTTTTTGTTTAATATATAGCACCATTAACTTACTGTAAAATCATTCCGTGTAATAATGTATATATATGACTCTTATTAACAAAAGTAAGCAGTTTGAACCCTTTTATCCAAGGGCAAAGCCAGTGCTTGTTGATTCTCAAAGATTTAAGAAAGTTTGTCACCTGAACTGAAGTTTTAGGCTTTACATTTGTTGGAGAACTTTTAATATTATTACTATTTTTCTTATTACTATATATATAAATAGATAAAACTTATTTTCACTACTACTCTTCTTTTATTTTGGCATGATGAGGATATGAGTTGAGCTTAAAGAAACAAGTAAGGATTCATACCGCCGACCCCAACTTTGTTTGGGACTGAGGCATAGCTGTTGAAGAACCTGAACTGAACTTGATTCCGAGAGCTCTGTTAAAAGTTGACTTTATCCTGTAATCCATTTAATTTGATCAGGACTGATGATCTAAGCCAGCTGTACCAGTAATTAGCTGTCACTTTCATAACCAGAAAAACTGTTCTATAAATGACATGAGCTATTCATCGTGTGTGTTCCGACTAGTCTCTTAGAAAGAATAAATGTAGCTAGAAGTCGCTCGAGCTTGATGTCTCCATTAAAATGGTGAGGGACCTGCAACCCAAGATAACATTCCAAGAAAAGGCACTAGTCTGATAACTTGATTAAATCCTGCATGAAAATACGTTAGTGCTAATCCCTTTGTGTTGTGAAAAGAATTTTAAAGCAGTTGACATTATCTTCTTTTGTAGGTCTTGACTGATGTGGACCACTGTTATTGTGTACTTCTAAATGCACATGATGGGGCTGCATTTCCAAGTGAGAGAGCGCTGCGGGAGAGCAGTTCTTGTGATACTTCTTCCTCAAAGAGTGACACTAGTTCTGGAAAAGTACGAAGGTCAAAGGTTCAAAATCCTACTTCAGTCTGCTGTATTTTGTATTTATTGAAGAATTAGCATCTCGTGGAATTTTATCATTTTTATGAATATGAAGGAGAGGCAGTTTTATTGTCCTGCCTCCCAAAGGAAATTATCAAAAGGAACTAGCTAGCTCTGAAATGGTAAAAGAAAAGTTTCATCTGACCTAATTTAACTTCTATCTTAGTAAATATGCCAAAGCATCTATTTAATTCTTCAAAGTGCAAGGAACTTTGAGTTCATCTTCTCTTTAGCTTTCAGCTTTCTCAAATATATATTTTGAGGTCCTTATATATTGGACATATCCTGCAGAACGTATCTAGCATAGTTTTCAGAATGTTTAGTTTTTAACTTTCTAAACGGTTTGTGATGTGATTTCAGATCACTCTCTTCTCAGGCTTCATTAGCTATGAAATGGTCCGAGATGCATACGATGGTAAAAAGTACTCTTCCAATATGTAGTCTTATGATTGGTTGCAGCATTATAAATCTTTCCTATGTCCTGGTATTCAAGTTTCCTTCAATCAATCTATATGCCAAACTGGTGGACAAATGAGATTTTCTTACTTGTAATGCTCCTATTGCACTGATCAAACTGATCTCTATGATAGCTCTTGCTAGATTGATTTGCTGAAATTTAAGTGAGCTACAATCAAAGGAGGCTCCTGTATTTGTGTGATTTCACTTTGAAATATGATTTGCCACCCAAGACTCCAATATGATCATCAGGAGGTGGAGAAATACAGTGCCAATTGCAGCTACTTAACAATTAAGTAAATAAATAAGGAGTAGAATAGAAGAATGGTATAAAAATCTTGCAACAATAAGAAAAAGGAATTTGTTTCGCTCCCAGCGCCTGCAGGGGACAAAAGCTTGGATATAAGATGGCTGTTATCTCTGATTATTTATTAGCTCGGAAACTTGCAAGTTGCAAGTTGCTTGTCTCCTCCTCTTTTTATGTTTTCGTGAACCTTAATTGCAAATCTATTCTCACAGTAGATACATGATGTGAAGGCTAAAATCCTATTGACCAAAGTAACCCTGGGAAATTGGCCCTAACAATCAAAGTGCCCCCAGGAAACCTTTTTTCTGTGTGGATCAGAAAAGAAAGAAAATCTGTATGCCTCAGCTCAAGTTATGCAGTTTAAGATTTTGGAAAACAGTATATTTGAGAGCTTAATGCAATCTCTCTAGCACTCATGTTTATGTAGCAACTGGGACTTGTTAGCAGAGGAATTACTTTTAATTTTCAATTGCAGGGTGATTTCTTGGTTATGTGTTATGTCAGTTTTGTCTTAAAAGGGATTTTGGCACTCTTGTTCTCAATTTATTTATTTTTCACAGATGGAAGATCTGGATTGGGGAGCCTTCTCTCGCTTAATTCTTCTGGGAAAACAGACCGGATCTATATGAAGGGTCCTGGAGGACGCGGAGAAGTTGAAGTAGCTGTTTCTGGTGTTGTAGGTAAATTAAGAACCAATTTCTTTTTCATCCTACCACATTACAAATTTGATCTCACTTTTCTGGCATGTGGTGAGTTAGTTTTTTGTATAAAAACCTTGTTTGATCTATAGTTTACAAAGTAATTTGGTATATCATCTTAATGTTATTGGTTGATATAAAACTCTAGTAAGGTATTTCATCAGATGTCATTGGGTTTAAAAAATAAATAAATGGTTTTATAGTGACCAGAACCCATGTGATTTGGCAGTGTAGTTTATTTCTTGCAATTTCGACGCATGTTAACTGGATCACCTCTTTTATGCTGTTGATATGCTACTTCTGCTCTCTTCTACTAATTGAGCTAGAAGTTGTTTCTTAATTCATTTTGATCGAGACAAGTTTTGTGTGGTAGGTGCTAGCATTATACTGCAATTGAATGTATTTAATTGTTTATACTTTTCCTCAACCCTTGTGCAATAAGTGTTGCATAATAGGTTCCTTTTACCTTTTGCATGTAGATATATCAAGTGTTTCTCATTTTGGAATGTGTTTCAGATCAAAGCAAGCAGGAATCTGGCCATCATTCTACAAAGGGGTTGAGCTTTGGTGTAGTTGTTCGAAGAGCAGCATCAGTTGCATCGATGGCAGCAAAGCATGCTTATGCTGCTGCTTCTGCTACCCGGTGTCCTGATGGAGGATTGATCCCCCTCAAGTGCTGCTTGATGTCCATATCATTGCCATGGGAACATATTGCTCATGATCTGTTGTTTAAGGTGAAAATTCATGTCAAAGAGGTCGTCATTGTCCAATTAGAGCTCATATCATTGCTATGGTCTCTCAATAATGTTTCTATTATTTCATACCTCAGGGAAAGCCTCCAGTGTAACTGTAAGAATGCCCATGGATGACTGTTTACAAAACACTATGCTTTCTCAATTGATTAATCCAACTCAGAAGTTTAGACTCCACAAGATAGAAACACTAAAGTAGGTTAGCTCAAGAATGAAACATAAAGGTGCGATGATCATATGCATATAAATTCCCATCCAAAGGCAAAGTCGGGATTTGAACCTTATGGGTTCGGGATTGTAATCCTTTTAACTTACTGAGTTCTAAATTAATAATGTGTATATATTCAATTGATTTCTTAAGACAAATAAATGGTTTGAATATAAGCTATTGGGTTCGGCCAAACCCGCTTCTCACACTGGCTCCGCCTCTGTTTCCATCCTCCTTCCCCAGTATTCTGCTCCCCATGCAGGGGAAGTAGATTATGTTCCTGTTATTCAATTTTGATATGGTGCTGCTAGGTCATTGGTTCATTGTTTGACAAATGTACATCATTATCTCAGCCCTTTTGGTGGCTATCTGAGATTTTTCCTGTTCTTTTGAAAAAAAAATATTTATCTATTTTTTATGGGGAGGGGGTTAGATTAGTGTCTGCATATTTTTTAGCGGCCAAAAATGGAGCTTTATTTTGTTCGTGTTCTGGTTTTGTTTTTGTTTTTTGTTTTTTCTTTTACTACAGGTGTTTGAAGTTTCTAATATTTCCGCCGGGTATTCTTTTGGGACCTGTTGCTTTACTTTTTGACATCCAGCGACCGGCTTATACTTTTTGCCTCGCATGGACCTCCTCCTCTTTCCTGCTTTTGCTTCTTACTCGTTCTCCAATAAACTTTATTCGTGATCTATTTTCTCTTATTTCCGTAGCAGAGGAATAGTTTATATAGGCAATACATACTTCTTTATCTGTTTATCTGAATTGTGTATTTTCAAAGGTGAGCATTATTTATAGATTCTTTCAAGTTGAAACAATATCATATTTTTAAATTAGCAGAACAGAACACATAGTTTACTCCTTGACCTTGACGCCAAATCCATGCAACACAGCTATTGATCACGGGCAACTTTTTACACACTCAACCTTTCAAATAGTGTCACGGCCCAAATCCAACCGGGATCGTGATGGAATAAATCATGCCATAATTATAACAACCGCATGGTATAAACTATTGTGCCATGATAATATAATTGCAAGGCATAAACTATCATGCCATAATAATATCAACCGTATGGTATAAACATATCAATATAAGTCCATATTTGAGAATCACATGCAGGGATGTATGCATATGAATAAGAAATAAACATGTATGATGCATATGGACAGAAAAATAAATATGCACATATGTATGCATTAGGACAAGTGTGACTACGGCTACAACATGCCTAATAGACAAAATAGCCCGTCATGTCCGAATAAATAATCAAAAGCCTAGACATGATCTCTAGCATGAATAAAGTTGCTCAAGTAGTCATACAAACAAATAAAGCATATAACAAGAAGAACATGCACCAAAATAAGGCATAAAGAAACCTAAAATCTACCCTAAATATGGTATAACCTCAGTATATGTCCGTATATACGTTCGTCACCTCGCATATACGTTGCCTCCAAACATGTAGTATTTATCATGCAAATCCATTTTAGGAAACTTTTCTCAAATCGAGGTTAAGCAAGGCACTTACCTTTCCGGACTAGCTCTATTCTTCAAAATTCATCTTTTCTAGCTCCAAATCCATCAAGCGAGGCCAATTTAGCCCAAATAATGCTCAAGAAAGTCAATTAAAGCTATAGAAACCAACTACAAACGATAAAACTTAAATCTTTAATCAATTCTCAAAGGTTAACAAACAGTCAACCCCGGCCCACACGGTCAAAACTCGAGACCAAGACTAAATTCTGGTGACTCATAACGTAACGAGTCCAAATATGTGATTAGTTTCCAAATACCCGTCCAAATTGGTATTCAAGACCTCAAAATACACTTTCTTAACTTCTTGAAAAAAATTCCAAATTTCTTGTTCAATTCCATTTGATGTTAGACCTAGTGATAGATTTATGTATAAATCATAGAATTTGGTTAGGATCACATACACCAAGTTGTGGATGAAGATCTAGGTCAAAACCTCCAAAACTAGCTTCAAAAGTTGAGAAATGAAATAAAAATTATGAAACTCGTCCTTAAATAGTTCTTAGAAGCTATTGTAAAAAATGTGCCCAGTGATTCGTAAAATAGGTCTGAGAGCCGCAAAACTGGTATGTGAATTGCAAGAGAAGCCGCAGAAAGGTCCAAACTATTTTAGCGCTGCCACTCCAGTAAAATAGTCATAACTTCTAGTACAAAAGTTGGAATAATGAACGGTTTGAATCAACAAAAGTTTACAATCTCATTAAAACTTTATCCCAAAATTCTCTTGTGAAATCAAGCCAACTGCAGAAAGGTTCTACTACAACGGTCCAAAAATCTCAAAACTTGCCCCAAACTTGCCTAAACTCTCTCGGGCACTTCGGAACCCCATCCAATCATTCCAAATAGTCCTTATACACTATAAAAACTTGTCCAAGGGATCAAATACATCTAAAAATATCACAACTAAGAATCAAGATCCTGACCAAAATATGAACTTTCTCAAGTTCTTAAAGTTCCAATTTTCAAAAGATAGGTCTGGACCATATCCAAAACCCTCGGGTCACCTTTAAACCATTCCAAAAATTCTAAATAACTTAGATGGACTTACCTAAAGGCTCGAAACCCGAAGAAAATGCAATATTACAATAGTCATTTCCAAGTCAAACTTATGAATTCTTTAAGTTTTTCAAATTGTCAACTTTCAACCAAAAGCGTTGCATCCATCAAGGTCCACCCGAGACTCGATTCAAACATAAGTGCAAGTCCAAAGTCATCATATAAACCTAACAAAACCTCCATATCACCAATCCGAGTTTGTTTATCTAAGGTTTTGATTTTAATCAACTCTCTTAACTTAAGGCCTCTAGTCAGGAACTGAGGGTTTTAAATCACTCCCAAACCTCCGAAACCCAAACCAACCATAAATTCTAGCTATAAAATATTATATGAACATACTCAAGTCATAGAATGGGATGCTAGAACTCAAAATGACCGTCTGGGTCGTTACATTCTTCCCCACTTATATATATGTTCATCCTCGAACGTGATAATATCATTTCAAAACCGTCGAACAACTATATAAACTCATCATACATATTCTTGAGAGTGATTTCATGTCACCTCAATCCAGGTAACTTTGTTAACATATCTTGACTGAAGATTCCTCCTTCAACCTTAACTTATAAGCTTATAAACCCAACTTCAATATGTAGATCTTCCTCCAAAATCGGATTATTATATATATTCACTGTATAAATCTCAATAACCTGTATCGATTCATAAATGAACTATCGGAATCCAACTACATGAAATATCTCACATCCTTTATATCCATAATCATACCTATTAGTCACAACAACTGCTCGTTGCAAATCCAGTACTAGTCAAAATACCCTAATTCAAATAGATACTTATTCCAAGCCTTCACAATACTGATATTGATGAAAGAAACATGTAGAAACTTATAAGCATCCATCATATCAACAAGTTCTCTTGTCCAGTAAGAACCATTGCATGTTCAGAGCTACCTAATAGTATTTTTCTTTCAAACATATCTTATCCAAATTCGATCGCTCTAATTCTAGGTCCTTTAACTTTGTTTCATCCAAAGCAAGTTGCTCGACCAATAACTCTCACCAAATCTGACATGGAACCTTAAACAATATGGTTCGGGAACCATACAAGTAATACCCAAATATATCAAATCTACAGAAAAGAAACTTATCGCCCAATGACTCCTTGATTTTGTATTATTCTCTTTCAACAAGTCTCTGAGTATCTATACAACTTACTCCATCTGTCTATTATGCAATGATTATGCAAACTTAATCCAACTCTCCTCGTTCACCCAAACCACCTGACATAACTGCCATAATCACATGGTGAACTGTCACTCTATCAGATCTGATGAATGTCACGGCCCAAAATATCACAAAAGTCCATGATGGCGCCTAACACGCTCGCTAGGGAAGCCAACACTCACATCGACAACAAAATTCAATTATTAAGCCATTCACTGATTAAATATAAATAGCAGAGCAGAATATGACATAACTCAAATATCAAATTTGCATAAATATCAGACAGGGTCTAAACATGATCACGACTATCTCAAAACTCTCCCAAAATCAAGGTGCCACAACTAGTCACAAACATCTAACAAGAGTATAAGATCTCAACTAAATACAACGTTTGTCCGGAAGATACACAGACAAATATATAAAAGAGCAAGGAAGGGGGTAATCCATGTGTTGCTGATCGAACCAAGTAACCTTACCGCGAAGTTTTCTAAAATAGTACTCCTACTCTGCTAGGTGAATACTACCTAATCAGTCTCAAAACCTGCACAAATGTATAGAAGTGTAGTATGAGTAATAAATACTGTACTTAATATGTATCAAATCTTGCCTCGAAGAAGTAGTACTGAGAGGTCAATAGCCATACCTAATAACACCTCAATAATTATAAGAGGCATAAGCAGCTTATGAAATAAAGCATGATATCATGAATCAAAGCCACCAATTGAACACAATAAAGTTGGAATATAAATATGCTTTTCAAATAGGAGATAGCACACAATATGAGATATCTCAAATCTCATACAATTATGAGATGAGTCAATCAACAGTTATATGAAAATAAAAAATGAGCCTATGCTACCAATGCAAGCTCACAATCCAATACCAATTCTCACCATACGATTTTCGTATATCCGACACTAATCGACTGTCCAAACTAATACCAATGTAAGTATCTTATGCTCATAGGGACTAAAGTAGCATAGGTAATCACCTAACTTCGGAGAAATGGTACCAAATCCAAGGCATTACAACATGCAACCTAATCCACTAATAATAATAATTCCGTTATGGCGTGCAACCCGATCCACAAATAACATCATTATGGCATGCAACCCGATCTACACAACAACATCAAAAGTTGATATCCGCTCATAATATTTGTGGTGCCAAAATTCTCATCTTTTCACGATATTCAACTCTCCAACTCACAATATATGTATGAGGAAATATAGCTATATGCACTAGATCATAATAATAGAAATGCGGATAAAAGCATATATAGCTAAAAGATAGCTATGGCTAATTATGTTATTCATTTTATCTCAGCAATTCAATAAGCAATTTCATTGTTCAAAAGTCTTATCATAACATTTAACATGAATGAAACAAGCTATTTAACAATAACAATACATGATATAATAAAGACAATAA